AAAGACAAAAGCATTGAACAACGATTCTTTTGTTTTTATTAGCCTACCTAAACCCTAAACCATTCAAAGAATAAGACATGAAACCTTTCATCTTGAAAATCTCAAAACTCTAAATACCATACAAATTCACACCATTAAAACTTCCTTTTCTCTATCTCTGACTGATATCACTTGTATTCATCATCAGCTCGTCATCATGTTTTCACTTTCTTGTCTCTTGTAGGTGACAACTCCAATAGTCAGTAGATTATTATTTAAATGTTTTCTTTTAACCTATGAAGAATCTGATCGTGCATGCTTTTTACACAGTAGAGCAAAAGTTTGCACAATATATGTGACATGCATGGCTATTTGTTAACTGTAAAAGATTCTCAGACCAGAGACTTATAGGTTTCGTTCGAACAAACAAAAATACAATAGCAACTCAGTCACATGAATTTTTTGTTTAAAAAAAAAAAAAAACTCAGTCACATGGTTTTACACTGTATGCCGTTTAATGATATAGAACGAAGACTGCATGATGTGTTTTCGTAAACGACACAGCATCCTCATAAATAATGCAGATCGCGTTTTACGCTATAGGCTTACATCAAACGCAATTTGTGGGCCGCATAAACGGGCTTTAATATTGCTTAGCAAGCCCATAGCATGACGTCTAATTTAACAAACGGCCGTTTGAGGGCGTTAACGTTAACAAACGGCTGTTTGAGTGCGTTAACGTTTACGAACGACCCGTTAAAGTAGCTAAATCCTGATATTTGTTTGCCACGGTGGCAAAAAACTCTCGCAATGGGCCCACAAAATACTATATATCAAATTATTTAAGGCCCAAAGTGACTCAATTCGGAGAAATGTTTCGATGATATTCATGAGAGTGGCGATCGTAGAGGAAGAAGAGCGGTTATGTTAATTATGACGTCATCCTCTACGTTTCTCACCGGAGAAGACGAAGAAGAAGTACAACAAAAACGACGACCACCGTCACCGGAGGAAGACGATACACCTTCGCATTCTCATCGACGGCGATGGAGCACTCCGATCGATCCCGGCGGCGGCGGATTCACCGTATCGGATGACGACGAGAATCGAGGTGTGTCTGGACTTAATCTCGACGAATTTTTCTCGTGCTCGCCGGATAACAGTTACAGTTTCTATCTAGGTGGGAAAATATCGCCGTGGGGATCGTCGGGACCGCCGTTACTCCGATTAAACACCGCTTCGCGTGGAGGAGAGAGGAGAGGAAGAA